ACGACTTTTGTTGCATGCATGCAGCATTGGCGTGGAGTCAAGGTAGGAAGCGAAGGAGACGAATGAGGTTTTGCTTGATGACCTTTTCTTTTTTATGCTCGTGAAAGGAGTTGCTTAGAAACGCTTTGTTGTCGTTCATTTGCGTCTCTGTGCACGCATGCGGCATTTGCGTGGAGTTAAGGTAGGAAGTGAAGAAGACGACTGATGTTTTTACTTTATGGCCTTTTTCTTTTTTCTGCTTGTGAAAGGAGTCACGTAGAAACGCTCTGGCTCCTTTCCTTTCCGTCCATGAACTTGAGAATCTACTTGAGAGTCGATCGAAGATTAGATTGAGAAGGAGAATATGGTAAAATACATTAGCATTGGCTTGTATCAAATGAGACCCATGATTCATCAAGGATCATCCGAAAAAGTACAATAACCAAAATCATGACATGATTGTGTGAAGAGCCGTGTCGATTCTCCACATGAATATCGACAATGAACTGATGTGTTTCTTCTGTTGAAACCGAGAACTGCTCTCTGATTGTGATGAGAAGCATGGTTTACAGAGAAGACATGGCTATGGGTGTTCAGTAAGTGCATGCACGATATTGATCTCGTTGGAAAGGGTGCATACAGTAATATTCTACATGTCCTCCATTTTCCGTCAATTACTCAAGTCTTTTCTTGAGCACTTCATGGAGAAAACAGTAATAATGAGCACACATATATTCCCATCACCCACATCGATCCCCTCAATCTATAAGTAACATATTTCGTTCCACTTCCGGGGGTGATCTCTTGATTTGTTTTCCTTCTCCCCTCCAGACATGGTTGCAAGCTCTAAAAGAGTGGAGTGTTTCGCAGATGATACCGACCTTGAAGCATCTTCCCGCATGCCAACACCAGACATGATGGCCATGGAGGTCCACAAGGTAGCCGTGCTACAAGATAGGACTGGCCTTCGTTCTTTCAGGCATAGTCTGAGCGAGGTCTTCTTCCCCGATGATCCGCTCCATCGTTTCAAGAACAAGCCTTTCTTCAAGAAGGTGGTTCTAGCTCTCCAGTACTTCTTTCCCATCTTCGACTGGGGTGCTCACTACAACCTCAAGCTTCTCAAGTCCGACGCGGTCGCAGGCATCACCATTGCTAGTTTGGCTATCCCACAAGTATGACCTTACTCACATCTTTTCATGAAGTTAGGAAATGGATTTGGAAAGGAAGCTCGAATTTTTCTAACTCGTAACTCTTTCTATCTATCTGTTTTCTGCGACAGGGAATTAGCTACGCTAAGCTCGCAGGTCTGCCTCCGATAATTGGCCTTTGTGAGTCCAATTTCTACACTTCTCGGAACTCATCGACTGCAACACGATAGAAAAAGCTTAAGCCATTCGCGTTTTCTTGCATTGCCACCGTAATGGAGAATACCACTGACCTTAGATCGAATTGGACCTTGCAGACTCCAGTTTCGTGCCACCACTGATTTATTCTGTTCTCGGGAGCTCAAGAGATCTTGCTTGTGGCCCCTTATCGATTGCATCTCTAGTGATGGGATCCATGCTGAGAGATGTGGTCTCTCCCGAGGACACCAAAGAATACCTTGAAGTAGCTTTCACTGCTACTTTCTTTGCTGGTGTCTTCCAAGCCGGCTTGGGTTTGCTGAGGTAAAACACAAGAAAACCACATTGCTTTTGCTCCAATTACATCTAATTCTTGGGTTTGCGACGTAGATACAGTCGAAGTTTCTCCTAACACAATCTCAGAATCGCTACTTGTTTTCTGTAGGTTGGGCTTCATAATCGATTTTCTATCGAAACCAACGTTGACTGGATTTATGGGCGGCGCGGCCGTCCTCGTTTCGCTTCAGCAGCTGAAAGGGCTGCTTGGAATAGTGCACTTCACTACCAAGATGGCAATCATTCCAGTCCTGAAATCTGTTTTCGACAATAGGAAAGAGGTAACAAAAGGATTTTTGGAAGATTTGGATGATATATTACTAAGATTCTGCCGTTTGATCAACTTATATTTATCTGTCCGAGCAGTGGTCATGGCAAGCAGTAGTTATGGGTCTCTCATTCCTGGTTCTCCTACTGACGGCAAGACACATAGTAAGTTGTCAATCCATCCCAGTAATCGATACACCTCTTTCATTAAAATGAATCCCTGAAGAGGATGCTGATGACCAAAACCAGGCAGTGATTATATAAGCCACTTTGTGTGGGGTGTTAATAGTAATGTTCTTAGTCTTGCAAAACACCGGCATCGATCGATGCCTTCGATTCTGCTTGTTGCTTTCTGTGCATTATTGAGTCGTTTATGCAATCTGAACTGACTGAACTCACATGGATCAGAGCACTGTCAGACCCAAGCTCTTCTGGGTATCGGCAGCAGCTCCTCTAACCTCAGTGATCATATCCACTATCATCTCCTACGTCCTCAGATCCCATGAGAAAGGCATCTCAACAGTAAGAATCATCTTCTTAAATATGTATAGTTATAGGTAGAGAGTTATTAGTTCTCGTTGTTCTAAGTTATCGATGTGAAACAGATTGGGTATTTACCGGAAGGGGTGAATCCGTCTTCAGTGAGCATGCTGCACTTCAAAGGCCCTCACTCGAGTCTTGCTCTCAAAACGGGAATAGTGTCTGGGCTCTTGGCTCTCACGGTATCACTCTGAACCTTTAGATCAATGGATCATCCATTAATTCTCTCTAAGCTAACAGGCTGAGGCTTACCATGGATTCACAGGAAGGAATTGCCGTGGGGAGGACATTTGCTTCCATGAAGAACTATCAGATCGATGGTAACAAAGAGATGGTGGCCGTAGGATCCATGAACTTGGCCGGCTCATGTGTCTCATGCTATGTCACTAGCGGTAAGATCGAAGAAGCAGAAACACATAGCAAGAAGCATGCGGAGTTGATCATGGAAGCTCCTGCTGAATGATGCAGGTGGGTTCGCTCGATCCGCCGTTAACTTCAACGCCGGTTGCAAAACAGCAGCAACCAACATAATCATGGCGTCTGTGGTGCTCTTCACCATGCTACTTCTCATGCCGCTGTTCCACTACACCCCCAACGTCATCTTGTCGGCGATCATCATATCGGCGGTGATCGGCCTCATCGACGTCCGAGGTGCAATACTGCTGTGGAAGGTGGACAAGTTTGACTTCCTGGCTTGCATGAGTGCATTCCTCGGGGTTCTCCTCCTCTCGGTGCCGATAGGCCTCAGCATTTCGGTAAGCGCTCTTCACTCGACAGCAATCTCTCCTTGCGGAAACCAAAAGAAGCGTTCCTATTTGTTCTGCAGGTGGGCATATCGGTTCTCAAGATTCTGTTTCATGCCACTCGGCCGAACATTGCGGTCATGGGGAACATCCCGGGAACAAACAGCTACAGAGATCTGGCACAGTACAAAGAAGCCAAAAGGATGCCTTCGTTTCTAATCCTTGGCATCGAGTCCCCTGTCTACTTCACCAATTCGGTGTATCTCCAAGAAAGGTTAGCTTAGGCGTGAGTTCAAAGAGTTGCCACCGTCTGCAACAACACCTGTTCCCTGATGCAACAATTGGCGTGCAGGATCCTGAGATGGATTCGAGAAGAAGAAGAGAGGATTACTAACTCGAACGAGAGACCCCTCAAATGCATCATACTGGACATGGCTGGTAAGTGGCGTTGAAGCGCTCAAAATTTACCAGAGAAACTTCAATCTAGTGTTTGTACACTGATCATGAGCTACCAAATTGGCACAGCTGTGACGAATATCGACATAAGCGGCATTGAATCGCTCAAAGAACTGAAGAGGACACTTGACAGAAGATCTCTCGAGGTAACACCATCATCATCGTCGTCATCATATCCATCTTAACCATGTATAACCTGTCAACAAAAATTGCAGCTGGTGCTAGCAAATCCTGTTGGGGAAGTGTCACAGAAGCTGTCTCACTCGGGGGCTTGGGAGCTCTTTGGACCAGAATGCTTCTACATGACGGTCGAAGAGGCCATTGCTTCAACCTCATACAAAATTTGAGCTAGCAGGACCGTGAGGTGATGAACATTATGCCAGCTGCTTGTGATCTGAACCCTAACAATGGCCATTGTCTCCTCATCTGAGCTCTGCTCAGAAGAAATTTTGAAACATACAAACCAGAACAAATTAGCTAGAAGAATAAAACATGTTTGTTAGATTGGTGGCCTGTCAGAGAGGCTCACTCTAGGCTGTTGTATGTTTCTTCCATTAATACGAAAGCAAAGTATCAGTAAATCTCTCTGAACTTGAACTGTCTATGGGCGATAACACTGTGACAACACTGATATCATTGACCACCCGGGAAACTTCATGCAACATCACAATTACTCGGGTCTGCACCCGACAGCCGGCAATCATGGCTCGTCCGGGCCATGATTCGACCACGTGACTGACCTCAGGCCCGGCTAATTCGGTGGCCCGTAGAATGGACGGCTGATATCCATCAGAGAACCATCGGACGCCAGGGATGGACTCTCATACTGTAAAAGGTTTGGGCGGAACCGTAAATAACTGACGCATATGAGGGTGTATATTTAGGATGAAATCTAAAGACCGTGACAGCCGGGGGTTAAGTGGCCTATCGGCACACTGGAAGTCCAAAAAGAACGAGGATTTCCTGTAAATATCACACAGGGTTCAGCATGTTTGGATCGCAAAATTACTTTCGTTGGTCGGTCGTTCAAAAGGTTTGGTAGTCAGCAACCCTGAACGCTGATTTGGACGATGCAGCTGAGCCGCACAACCTGGAAGCGGTCACATTTACGCCGTTTTTGATGTACTCTAACGGCGTCTTCCTTTACCGATAACACCGCCTTCTATCTTGTAGTCTTCTTTCGCTTTTGGTCTTCTTTCGTACCATCTCTCGCTCACTTGCTCGCTCTTTCGCTCACCAACCCTTCTTCGCTTGCCTTTTCCGCAACGCAGTCGCGGGGGTGTTCATCTGCTCATAGATCTGCGAAATGTGCCTCTGATCTTGAATTGATTTCCTCGGTGAGCTTCGGATCCTCTTGATCTTCATCTTTTACGTTTCGATGTGAATCTTTTCTCCTGGTTTTGATTTCTTACGAGGAACATTGGACTTGGTGCTGGGGATCTGTAGCTTGAGCCACTTCTTGCGCGTTCTGATATATTTTTCACTGGTGATTATTGGTTATGAGTTTGGTTTTGCGCCTGTGGAATTCGGTGCGAGGATTCTCGTTGTAGATTGATCCTGATGGACATGCATGTTAGGGTTCTGTGTTCGTGCTCTGATGCAGGAGGAGATTAGGGTTTTATATTTGTGTCACTGAGGTTTAAGTTTCTCTTTGGTTTTGTTATATTTATGTTCATGTGGGGTAGTCCCCGTACCATTATTTTATGCTTAGATGTTCCTTTTGAGGTTTGATTCCCAACTAAATCTGCGCGTTGAAATCTCGTTGCTGTTATAGTAAATTATTTTGTAAATGAGCTGATACATTTCCACGTCCTTCAAAATAATATGATGGATTAATACTCCCTTCGAAACAGGATTAAAATTATCTACATGTGACATGTTGAAAGCTAGTATGTACTGATGAGATCAATTTTGTATTTCTTATAACATGATTGGATTTTTTTTCCTTTGCCTTAAAGTTACTGTACAATTTCTCTGCAGTTGCGAGTTTAGGGGAACAGCATCTAAAGATTTCTGTGATGGGAAAATCTCCTGCAAAGTGGATTAAAGCAGTTATTTTTGGAAAGAGATCATCTAGATCTCATACTTCAAAAGGGAAAGATGGTTTGGTATGGAATTGAGAATCTATTGGTTTATTATTGAACATATTAATTTTCTATTCAGTGTGCGATGAACTTGTTTACTGATTACATGGTTGGCTTTCTTCCTGTGGAAGTTTTGCCTGGTAGTAGAGAATGTTGATGTATTCAGATATCAATGTCTTTCCAAATCCCTGCACTGACTTAAGGAATATTTCCTTTTATAACATCACTACTTTAATTGATGCATTTCCTTTTACATCACTGTGAAATTCGGTATATCATCAAGCACAATATATATTGTTGCACTGCGTATGTGCAGAAATCTGAGTATCTGTCTTTTCATATTATTCTCAGTTAAGACAATTCAAGTAGTTGCTTCCAACAAAATGGAAGGGATAGATTGATACATGGTTATCGAGAAAGGTGACCTTGGAAGTGTTAGGCTCCTAAACCATACACACGACCAACCCCACCAATACCATGAATTAGGATAGGTTATTTCTCATTACATCTCTTTGAACTAGCTCAAATCATAGTCATCCAAGGTAAAGTCAAGATTTTCAAAAAAGCAAATTCTTCTTCCAAAATTTTTTGGAAATAACTGAAGATATGTCTATAAGTTAGAGGGGTTGCATTTAAAGTTTTCCTCGCTTATTTCTTTAAATTGACCATTTAATCTTTGTTTACTTCCAAAGTTATTATAATGCATTAAGTACGACAGGTAATCTTATAAATCTATTATATTTGAGTGCTTCATCACTAATTGATCTTCTGATCCTCATTTGTATTTTTGAAGAAACCTGGTGTTGATAAAGAGCATTTTTCTGGGGGAGAACCATCTCATGTCACAGTGAAATCTTTGGTGATTACTCAACCAGTTCTTGTAAGCAACAATTCAAGTGGTCCATCATCAGAAAATAGGACGGATTCCACTTTAGTTACTGGAGCAGTTAGGGTGGAGAGCCAAGAAATTGTTGTACATCAAGCTTCAAGTAATCCAGCCAAAGCCATGGAAGAGCGTGCTGCTACAAAAGTTCAAGCTGCCTTCAGGGGTTATCAGGTAATTCTTGTGGAAATAGTGTTTGCATCTTCTTTGGTAACATTGGCATCATATACTATTATTGGGACCATTTTATTCTTCATTTAATTTCTTAAAAATGGGTTCTATATGCACACTAAATAACACACAGGAGAATTCAAGGAAGAGAGTGTTTGTATTTATGTGCAGTCACGGAGGGTGTTCTGTGCATTGAAAGGCATCATAAAACTGCAGGCTCTAATTCGTGGGCACCTAGTGAGGCGTCAAGCGGTTACCACCCTGCATTGCATGTGGGGTATTGTCAGATTTCAAGCTCTTGTTCGCGGTCAGAGAGTCAGGCTTTCAGGTATTGGCCTTGAAGTCAGAACAAAGTATCCTCAAATGAAGAGTGTGGTAAGCATCTAATGACAGAAATGATCTCAAAAAATTATTTTATGTTTTTTAACTTACAAAGTGTCCTGTTTATTCCGTAAATTCCCACATAAGCTTTCATTTTAATTATTTGCTGTCTGGTAGTGTTTCAATTATTGATAAACTCTAGTATCTGACTGCTCTATTCTGACAAGAAGATGAACACTTTGTGAGATTGGTCATGATAATCCATCGAGAATGAGTCATTTCTGGTTTCTTTCCTGTTGAGGGATAACTCTTTTTTCCACATACTGTGGGATTCTTTTGTCTCAGAGAATCCCTCTGACTGGTTGACATGTGTGCATGTTGTTGTATATGCAATGGGGATTGTATTGTGAATATTAATGAAACATTTCTGCTGAAATGGTGTGGTGGTGGTGGTAGTTTTTATTCTCTGAAAGGTTTGGCCATTTAGCAACGAAGTTTTTCTACATGAATTCGATATGTGATGTTCACTCGGGCTGAACTATACTTTCATGGTTTATCATCTTATTTCTTTTAGGTATGTTGATTTTCTTTTGTAGGATGATAAGAAGTTGGATTTCTCGAAGATGCAGCTGTCTGCGAATCAATTTATTTGCAAGGTAGGTAAACTATGAATATTTTAGTATTACAATAATATGATAATATTACAATTTTAAGCAAAAACTTTATTTCATCATATTTTTGTGTGAAAACTTGATGCTATTGCTTTCCATGATTCTTTAACGTTCTCAAAACACATTGATTTGCTTCTTATACTTAAGATCAATATTCTGGGAATGGAAAGCACAGTTTTCAAGATATTCATGCACTTTATGTTCATGTGAGCCAATGCCCATCTGTTGTCTAGGTTTACTGTCTAGTTTTACAAGCAAATAACTTACTTGCCTTTCCACAGCTACTCTCGGCACTGCCTGTTACAAAGCCTGTGCAGATTCATTATGATCCAGTGGAACCAAATTCAGTCTTCAGTTGGCTGGAGCGCTGGACATCCTCACAGTTTTGGAATCCACTTCCTCAATCAAAAAAGTCTGTCAATGTGAAATCTCGGGTGAGATGCAGTAGTGCTGTGGAAAGTGAATCTGTCAGATTAAAATCAAATGTTCATAAAAATGTGGCTGCAAAGGTTGATGTCATGACTGAATCAGAAAGGCATAAACGTGTTACGAGGAAAATGCTAATCCCTCCTGCTGACTCTGTGGTAGAAAATCCACAATCTGAAATCGAAAAGGTCAAGCGTAGTTTGAGAAAGGTATCCAATTCTAAAAAAGAGCCTCCTGAAAAGCCAGAATCTGAAAATCAGAAACCAACTTGCACTCCGAGAAAGGTGACAAACTCACTATCTGATGCTCCACAAGTGTCTAATGAGCATTCTTCTATGAAGATAAAAAATGATAGTGTAGTGTCTATTGACAGTAAGCTTGTAATAGTTGCTGCTGTAAAGTCCGTTGCATCAGGTGGGCCTAAGAATGCAGTAATAGATGACAGTACTGCGATCAAACCGCATAGCCCAGAAGAAATCTGCAAAGAAGAGAGTATTTCTAACTGTGATGGAGAGTTAAGCTTGAAAGATGAGCCAACTAGCAATGACATCCAGAAGAGTAGCAAGAGAAGGGCTTCTTTCCCACCAAAGCCAGAACCTTTTGCAGAGAATGCCTCGCAAAATGCTCCAAGATTACCAAGCTATATGGCAACTACTGAATCAGCTAAGGCAAAGCTAAGAGGACAAGTTTCACCGAGGGTTGGATCTGATTCTGCAGAAAGATATAATATGCCTCGACGTCATTCTCTGCCAACTTCCACGAATGGAAAGTTAAACTTGCAATCATCACGTGCACATAAGTTGATCCAAGCAAGCTGCAAGGATGGAATTAGAAACGACAGATCCTTTACATCGTCAAGAGATGGTAGTGGTATGACCTGTCTATCATTCTGCTCATACATATTTTGGTGTGGATCTTTTATCATTAACTTCTATCACCTTTCATCTCCCAACCACCACCGTCCTATGATTTTCGGCCACCACACTTTGTTATCTGACCATTTTCCATCGTCATTCATCCTTTGACCACTCCAACCTTCATCTTTTAAATATTGTACATCCTTAAATCACCACAGTCCTTCACACTTGTCATCCCTCCATCTTCTGCTAAAAAATGGTCCAAGGCTCTGATCAGTACACTGTATTTGGTGGATTAGGGATGGAAGGATGAAAAATCTGATCATACCAAAACAAACTATTCCTAATGATTTTATCGCAACACATATTTGGAATGCTGAACGGGGGATCCTATGTTGTTCTGAACGGACTGGTGCAAATAAGTAGACAGCCACACTTGCCCCCAAGTAAGAAAGAAATCTGGTTATCCTATGTCTTTTTAAGTCTTCTAACGCACCTGGTTTCTGTAGTGAGGCTTTGGCATGCACTTGAGGGCATTCTCAATGCTGCCAACCAAAATTGTGTCTATGCATTTCATTTTATTCTTTTTCCCATTAAAAGAGAGCACCTACTTTCTTTCGAAAGGTGAGAAACCATTTTTTAACACATACGTTGCACATAACCAAGCTTTATCATAATTAGTTAGTCGTGGGTGGGTGAATATTATATGTTTACTGACACATCCTTCCTATCGATTTGTTGCATGGAGCAAGGTTTTAAATGCCAGTAGTTAATGTTTTGCTAATTTTGTCAATTTAACCAAGGATTGATATCATAACACATTGGTTGATACGTCATCAATATAGTTTTTTTAATTTCTTGATAAAAGGTTTGTTGGCACCATATCGAATTTATATGTCATCAATATGGTTTTTTTAATTTCTTGATAAAAGGTATGTTGGCACCATATCAAAGTTACCGGATGTCAAATGCTGTATTATTAGATTAAAACCGTAACTTGAAGATTCTTTTTTTTTCACTTTTATTTTGATATTTACTCTTTCATCTCCTTGTTTTTGCCTCTTCCCTCTAAAATTTGATCCAGATTTGACACTGATTTTGACAATGTTGTTTTGTCTAATTTCCTCAAAACCACAGAGAAGTCGATTCAAGTGGGATGGAGGAGGTGACATTGTCAGAGTGGTAATTTAAATTCTTCACAGCGGATAAGTTTGGCTACAGTCTTACACACCCTCCTTATTGTTTGTTTTATGGAGTAAGTTGTGCTTTAATCCTCCTTAGCTAAGTTGGATCATTACCGGTGTGGCGTGCATACTGTTCCTCTTTGTCTCTTTCGTATGTTGGAAATCATGTTACGGTGGGATGTACAGCTTCAGTCCCTTTTGTGTGTGGCGTGGTTTTGTTTGGTCCGGTTGTTATCGTTTTGTTTATGTTAAGAGTTGTCGCAAAACAATGAAATATACCTTTTATCATAAATGCCTTCCTTCACCAACATCGTGTTCGAATCCACCTCCAATTTGTTCTGATATTGTATCCCAAAAGATTTGAGGCAGAGCTGTAACTTATGTTCCTCATCAAATCCAGTATTCGGAAACTTGTTTTATAATGTTTATTGGTAGATGCTGCTGACACAAAAACTCATAACATTATCAGATCCAATTTCTTCTATGTGGTGGATGTGTGCATCTCCTTCCTTCCTTCCTTTTTCTTTTCCAGGGTCGTGGATGGTTCGCGGGCCACAGCAACCGCTTCCATCACTCGTCGTGATATGACAGGTCAACTACACGCTTTCTTGTCCTCGATGTATACACTTGTGTATATATAGTCGTCATAAGAAAGAAAAATCTTCCTCTCCGTGACAATGCCTAGATTCCATTATCATCACACTTCGCCATATCCCAACCCAAGGTACGCACTTCTGATCGCCACCATCTTGGTAGTGACACTCTCCGCGTCCAACCGTGCTTGTGGTGTTCCTTTCGAGCAGAGCAGGCCAACTTCGACCATGGAGACCACGCAATTCGCTGCGCGATCGTTACCTTCCATGGCCGATCGCATCGCAGGATCCACGATTTCCACTACTCTGTCAGGGAAGGCCGCCGCCTCGACGAAGCTACGAAGCGATCGGCCGTCCCTGAACATGTCGTCGGTAGGCCTCTTCCCTGTCACCATCTCCAGCACAAGTATTCCGTAGCTGTACACGTCTCCATGCGCGGAAACTTCGCCTCCGATCCCGTACTCTACAGCATAAGATCAAACACGGTTGTATCGGTACGCGTGCAAGCAGATATGAAAAGTAGAAACCAAGATATTAGTACCTGGCGGTATGTAACCAATGGATCCTCTCAATGCGATGGAATAACTGGGATTCCCCTTTGATGCAGCGTTGCACTCGGCCAGGAACTTCATCAACCCATAGTCACCCAAGTGGGCAGCCATGTCGTCGTCGATAAGAACGTTGCTCGGCTTCACATCACAGTGAACGATTGGCGTTTGGCCATGGTGACGATGCAGGTACTCCAACGCAGACGCAACATCGATGGCTATGCACAGTCTTTCGTCAAGGCTCAGATGCTTCGTCTCACGATTCGAAGCAACCGTTGGGTGCAACCAATCATCTAGACTCCCGTTGGGCACGTACTCGAACACGAGAGCTTTGAAATCATTTCCGCTGCGGTCGATGGTGGAGCAGCAAGTGAGGATCTTGACGAGGTTCCGGTGCCGGATGCTTCTCAGGGCCTCGCATTCTGCCAGATAACTCTTCAGAGCTCCTTTCTGCTCCAGGTTTAGTACCTTTACTGCAACGCCGTTCTCGTAGCCTTCCAGAGTTCCTTTGTACACACAACTGAAGCTACCGGTGCCAATTAAATTGGCGGAAGAAAACCCGTCGGTCGCCTTGTGCAGCTCTGCGTAAGACACCATTTTGAACTGATCTCTTGGAGAAGATTCGAGCGGAGATCTCTTGTTCGACGCCTTCTTCCGCATGAGAATGATGATGGAGAGAACAATAAAGCAGGGGACCAAGCTGGCGAGTCCTATTGCGACACTTCTCATTCTACTTTTGTTAGAAGAGTCGATAGGGCATGGTGGAAGGCGTAACGCTGGATCACCCCCGCAAAGCTTGGGATTCCCATCGACGAAAACTTCGCTGGCGTTGGCGAAGGCACCTTCTGTTGGAACCGGACCATCGAAATCGTTGAAGGAAAGGTTGAGATATTGGAGACTGCTGATACCAGCCAAGAATTTGGGGATTTGGCCAGATAATTCATTACGCGAAACATCGAGCCTCTGAAGGCTTCTCAAGTTGCTCAATTGCGAAGGTATGGTACTCAGGAAGAAGTTTCCTTGCATGTAAAGGTAGTTCAAGGTCTCGCAACATCCAAGACCACTAGGAATTTGGCCAGAAAGCTTGTTTTCAGAAACGTCGAGCAGAACGAGGAGCTTCAGCTTCTGGATGTCACTTGGAATCGGACCGACCAGAGAATTATGGGACAGATCAAGCACCTTTGTGAGAGAAGTAATGCTGACAACCTCTCTGGGAATGGGGCCACCGAGCTGGTTACGAGAAAGATTCAGCTCGTTCAACTGCTTGAAGTTGATAAAGCTTCGCGGTATGCCTCCTTGCAATCGATTGTCTCCCAAGTTGAGTACTTCTAGCTGCGTGTGGTTCCCCAGTGACTCAGGAATGAGGCCGGAGAGCTTGTTCCCGAACAAGTATAATCGAGTCAAGTTGCGAAGGGATCCAATCTCTCTAGGGATGCTGCCGTTCAGAAGGTTTCCATTGAGATCAAGCTGCTGCAAGCCACGGAGTTTCTCTATCTCCGGCGGAATGGCCCCTGATATCTGAAGCCCTGCTAAAGACAACCACTCGAGTTGCGCAGAGAGGTTCGCTATAGATGCAGGAAATCTGCCTGCAAGATCATTGTCGGACAGAAACAGCCATGTGAGCTCTGTGCAGTTAGACAGAGAAGCAAGGAAGCTCCAATCCGTGGCATCCCTGGCCTTGAACCGATTCCCCTCGAGGTTCAGGACGGCTAGATTATGATGCTGACCCAAATCTGCTGGGACAACTCCATTGAAATTGTTCAAAGAAAGATCAAGATAGTAAAGTTCAGAAGCATTGACTAATGATCGTGGTATTGAACCTTCCAATCTATTCCCCTGGAGGATAAGGTATTCGAGTCCGGGAAGAGCATGGCCTATATCAGGCGAAATGGTTCCTTCGAACTGGTTTATCCCGAGGTTCAAAGAACCGAGCCTCGATAGATTGTACAGAGATGGAGGGATCGTACCGGATAACTTGTTGACGGAAAGATCAAGAACTCTTAAGCTGGTGAGGCTGCCCAGGCTTTCTGGTATATTCCCCTCCAAGCTGTTTGTTCTTAGATAAAGATAGGTTAGATTCAAGCAGTTGCCTAGCGAAGGCGGTATGCTTCCTACCAAGTTGTTGCTGGAGAGGTAGAGGTGGGTGAGGGACGACAGGTTGCCAAGAGAATGTGGAATCTTTCCGGTGAGACTGTTATTGGACAGCATGATCTGGGTGAGAGAAGAGGAGCTGCTCCCCAGGCTTGCTGGAATGGCTCCTGTAAGGTTGTTGCCATTAAGGTAGAGCCATAAAAGTTCTGAAAGCGATCCATACTCTGCAGGAATCTCTCCGACGAGGCGGTTCCCTGAGAAACAAATGACGCTGAGGTTGGAGCATCGAGCGAGGCTCGCAGGGAGCTTTCCCTCGAGCTTGTTGTCATCGATCCTGATGATCCGGAGTCTGGAACAGCGAGATAGCGTGGCTGGGATTTCACCCGAAAGAGCATTATAGCTGAGGTCAAGATTCACCAGCCGACGCAAGTTTCCCAGCTCAGGTGGGATGCTTCCATTGAACTGGTTGTCTCCGAGGTGGAGGTTCCTGAGGGAAGTGAGGTTGGCTACGGAGGGCGATATGGGACCGGCGAGGCCGAGCGAGACCAGCCTCAAGGCTGTGACTCTCCGGCCATCTCTGCATCTCACACCGTGCCAGTCGCAGACATGGGACGAGTGGTTGTTCCACGAGGACAGTGCCGAGCGGGGATCGGATAGCAGAGACTTGAACGACAGGAGAGCGAGCACATCGTCGGCGGCGGCGGACGTCGAGTTGGACGCGGAGTCAGAAGCGAGGAAGGACTGGTGTGTCGATGCGGCCATGCAAGCTAAAAGGATGAGTGTTTGAAGCACCATTTGATTGGAACTTCCCGTGGAAGCAAACTGAGTTCAACGGCTACGTCTCAGCAAAGGGACGAGCTATTGAGTTGAATTCGAAGGAGAAGAAAACAACATCCACTTGTTTTTATACAGAGATATCGGGCGAGCAATCAAAGAACAAGTTATCGTTCTGACTACAGAGCAATGGAGAACGTGATCATGGAATGGAAGTGTGGGTGAAACAGTTAAGACTAATCCAATCACTCATTTGTTCTTAACAAGTTTAGTCAACGCCACTTGTTCTTATCAAATGTTCATATTATTCCAAACGTTTGTCAGTGGAATATTATGGATTATAGTTGATGAGTGTTGTTTGAGCATAGAACTCGCAAAACAGATTGATTACATTTTATTTTTCCTTGAGAGAATGGAGTAAGAAGATGGGCATGTCCATCTGGTCAAGGCCTCAAGAGATTCTCTTTGAACAGAAGAAATAAAACAAAGCCAAGTATCATTGGTGGGTGGCCTCAAGAGATTCTCACTTATGTGCATGAACTTGTAAATGATTGATAGGGATCAGTAGCTCAAGTAGACGTGATAATACGTTGTGTGGAGCGTGGACTTGAAGAAACAGACAAATTAGCTTACGAGGTCTAGTTTTCATAGTACACTGTGAATTATCATGCACTTAGTTTGACTTGACTTGAATTAAGTGGCTTCTTCCCTGAATGTAGCCGATAGAACATCCATTTGATGCTTGTTAATTATCATCAACGTTTACAGCTAAAGAAGCGCTGTATTCTTCTCCGTCGATTGCAGGTTTCCAGGTTGAATAACGCTACTTTTCTTGGGAAAGAGAGAGAGAGAGAGAGAGAGAGGACTTTTTCTTGTCTGCAGCATCAAAAGTCTCATGAAGGCCTCGGGTAGCACTTCCCTTCTCCAGACCTTCTTCTTCTTCTTCTTCTTCTTCTTCTTCCTACGAGACAACAAATGATGCGGATCTTTGCATCAATTTTGGCTTGGTATTAATTAGATTATCTTTGATTAATATGTTCATCAATCAAAATGTTGTCATGCAAGCCATAATGATCGAGACAGCTTCATTCCTTAGACTATCTTAATTATTCTCTTCTGTCGGAGTACCACTGACTTGTTTTGGAATTACTTTGACACTCTCAACTCCATGCAGCTGGACCACGTTCACAATCGACCGATCTAACTTACTTCCTCGAAATGTTTACATGAATACAATATGTAAGTCAGAGGTGGAGGCTGCAGGATCGAAGTCTTCGGGTTGATTCAGTCATTCCAAGGTGGCATTTTCCATTAGAATACAAACAAGCAGTTTAGATGCTAAGATCAATGGTTATATAATATTAAGAAAATGTTTATGAAATGAAGCCCATCAGCTGCCTGCCTACCTATAAATGCCACTGCTGCCTTTGGATTAAAGTTCAGCAAACCCTGAGGCAGCGAAGGAAGAGGATGGCACGCTGTGTACGCTTGTTCCTGTTCCTGCTTCTCGTCTCGCTCGTCGTCGTCGCCGCTCCGGCGTTTGCTGCCAGAAACTTGGCTCACGATGTTACCCCAAGTAAGTAAAACACTCATCTTCTCGCCGTAGTCATCGTCCAAAGATGGTGGATGAGGATAAAGTGATCGAAGATTGCGCAGAACCCGAATTATCGATCCTATTTCGTATCACCAATTTTAGTGTACATGCTTAATAACTTCACCTCTAGACTTGGTTGCATAATGATTCGTAGTTCCCGGAGGAGATCCAAAATGAGATAAAAGAATGGTTTGATATTGTTGTTAGGAACCATAGATTTTTTTGCTTCCTAATTTCTCAATGGTTTTGCACCTGTGCAGAGGACGCAATGAATCAAACTTCGCACAATCCAAATGCCTACAGATATCCGCCAGAATGTGGAGGTTACTATCGATTTGATCGACCACCTCGTTGTCCCTGACATGAAAAAAATATATATGTATGTACGTACGTATGTATGTTTTATTTAAAAAATATATTTTAATTTTTTTTATTAAAAAATTAAATTTTTTTTTTCACCGAATAAGAAAAAGAGAGAGAGATTTCCACTATGTTTGCTTGATGGTTTGGAAAATAAGAATAAATGTACTAAATTGATACTTGTGTATGAAAAATAAATACTTGTGTGTATGGACAATATTGTATAAGAAATATGAGGTGGAAAGTGTATATCATCGTTTGAGCTTAAAGTGTATCATCCGCAATTAATTGCGCTCTCTTGTTGAACCAAAAACTTGTTGGGAAAAACCTGTTAAAGCGGAATAATTCTTTTCCCTCTTTCTGTATCAAAATAGGTTTTTCAGCACAGCATAAATAATATAGCAAATAATCAATCACACATAGTAAGACCAAATCTTTTAACGTGAAAAATCTAATATTGGAAAAACCATGGGACCATAGTCCACCTCAAACTTCTACTATCAATAATAATGATAACAGGTTTATAGTATGTCTTCTCTAGAATAATTAGAGGATCAGTATAACATCAAGAATATAGATATTGGCTCTAGCATATCATCGGATCTCCTCAAAAAGAATTCTAGATCTTAAATAGTAGATATCGTAGGAAAATACCTTAGAGAGGGTAAACTGCAGATCAACACTATTAGGATTGTAGAGTTTACTGTAAGGATTCTCCAATAAAATTTGGGCCAAAACTGACAACGTTTCAACACCAATCGTCAAATAGAAAACTCAAAAACCTTACTTTCTCTCTCTATTTCTCTCTCCTCTTTTCTATGCACGCCGCCGCACGCTGCACGCGTTCACTCACCCACGCACGCACTGTCATCACCCAATTTTGCCATTTCTGTCTTGATTTCTTTGATTTGGGCTCATGGCCCAAATTTGTCCAACCTATGGGCTGGACCCAACAAAACTATGTACCTAAAGCTACTTTCGGATTAATTCCGAGCTCATCCAAAGAAGCAAAAAACCCGATTTCTTACTGGATCGGGTACGAAGCAAGTCCGATATGGTTATTTTATTTGATTATCTTCGCCCGAATCCGAAGCCTCGATATCTGAATCGGTTCGGATCTGATGATGATGTTGGAGTCGTTATCCGATACCTCATAATCGGGTGGGAGTCTCGAGAGATCGTCGACTCTCCATATGCCTCTTCGCCGCCTTCCTCTCTCCCTCTCCTCTTCGCGTCATCGCCGGGCGCCTGTGGACGTCCTCTTCCTCCTTGCATCACCGATCGTACCCCTCGGATCCGCCGTGACTCTGTTACAAGCATCCAGGTTCTTCTTCGTTATCGTCTATTTCTCCTCCCGACATTTAGAGAGGCCTTTTTGCGGACGATCAGCGTGCGTGTAACGCCCCAACCAAGGTTCCGCCATTCCTCCTCTTCCTCTTCGTCTCTGTTGGTATCTCAATAAACCCTAGCTGCGTGTGGGATCATCGTTAGGGCGTTACAGTCGTATGATTCGCTTCCCCTTCTCTCCGATCTACGGTATGTTTATCTAGACCTAGCGAAAAGATTCATGTTATACCCAAAAAAATTGCCCTCTTTGAGGTTTTCTTAATGTCGTGCAAGCAATTTCGCCTGTACAAGAAATCTCGCTCTGCTTCCCCATGGACGGCACAAGCAATTTCGCCTTAGGGTTTCTGGATCCTTTTTCTTAATCTCATAAAGAAGTATGTTCTTTATAAAACTCGTTGGACTTCGTCTTGGTCTTGCGCCGTGTCTTGGACTTCGTCTACTGCTAAAACTCGTTGTTTGAATCTCCTCCGTGTGGCTAATTTCGATTGTTTCGTGGTTACTTCTTGTTGGAATACAGTAACGCGTTTTGTTGACTTCCTACCTTCCTGGAAGTTCAAGTTGCGTTGACCGGAGTAGTATATATATGCATATATGTATGCCAACCATGGAGCTACCACTGTCGGAAAACAAGACGGGGGTCACCATGGAGCTACCAGTTTCGGAAAAGAAGACAGAGCGCGAGCCAGAGCAGCAACCAGCATCACCACCGCCGCAGGCTGATGCCAATGGCTTCAATTTCCTTACCATCATCGCCCTCCTGTTCCTCACCGTCAATTCGGCGGATGTCGCCTACCGATCGCGCCACGATCCCCCGACGCTGGCCTTCGTGGTGTTCGCCTACTCTGACTTGATGATGCTCCTTTTTTGCCTCAAGAAGATGGAACAGCTGCCACTGGAGGGGAGGGAGCGACTCAAGTTCCCGGTTTGGGCCCTCTCGACGGCTCTCATCCTCGCGTTCTCGTGGCGGGTGGCGGAGATAATGCCTCTGGTACTGGCTGTCGTCGTCTGGCTATTGTCGGGATCCGTCGCCGTGGGTGGGTTTTATGGGCTGTTCATATATCGGGAGACGGAGGACGGTGGTGTCGTCGATCATGCTTATTCTCTTGCCAAAACCAATGAGCTCTCTCCCGAAGAGAAAGTCTAATGCTGTGCACCGGGCATTTAGTATTCTTGATCGCTCTGCTATGCAGCTTGCACTGAGCATGTAATATACTTAGTCGCTGCATTTTACATAACGATCACACTTGGAATATATAATTCAATAAAGCTATCTATGAGCTAATTACATATTTTTCTCTTAGGTCTCTTTAGTGTTGTGATTTTTATTTTTTAAAAAATTATATTGGATCCTCATAGTTTCAAAATCATTATGATTTATTTCATTTTTAATAATGACATTTATTACTTTGATGGAATCTTTTGCACATGACATAACTTTCTGAATTGACGTAAGTGAAGGACAAAACCGTTAGTATTGTCTCGTGTTGTCTTCACCAACCTTGTCGCAAAACTTGATGCTATGTGATAAGGGTAAAAATGGCAGTCAGCCTCAGGACAATGTCAGCTGCTCCAGATGACGTCACGCACCTTGGAATTGATCAGAACACTGACCGAGGCACATTAATATCCTGCAAAAGTCAAGTCCAACACGCTACGCCATGGCTACTATCAGCCTGCCCCCTGCAAGCGGGCAGCTCAGGGAGCAGAATGCTTCCCTACAAATACCCTCTTGTTCATTAGAAGAGAGGCGGGACACACTCCAAAAAACACTACTTCTCTCGAAACCCCCTCCACATCTTTCGCTGACTTGATCGTCGGAGGGATCGGGTCGAGCACCCCGGCCCGACCTTTGTGCAGGTGCGAAGCCTTCGGAGATCCCCGCCTTCGGAGATTCAGCGGGCTCGAGGAGCGCCCCCACGGAGACCCCCGCCTTCCGAACCCGAACCGAGCCGCGACGACCCCGATGCCACAGCTTAAACAGGTGCAGACCGCATCACTATGAGTATCCGTAACTTGTCAGGCCTCACCTCACACCATCGCGAGATTATTTTTTTCGTTTGATCATATTCTCACGGGTGATTATTGTATACATATAATATCTTTGTCAATGAATCGTTCGTCTTTTCTGATTGCTTGTGATAGTAAATTTATCTTGTTTTTATGTGTTTTTGTTTGAAAATTATAAGCATGAATAATTTGTAGGGTTATAGAGTGATCATATATATATATATATATATATATATATATATATATATATATATATATATATATATATATATATATATAAAAGATACATTAGAATAAAAAGTCTTAGTCAACAAAAGAGAAAATTAAAGAAGGTTGACTTCAAAAGTACGCGTGAATTGAAAAGATCAAAACACGTGGAATTGGTCAACTCAACCACAAGAGTCATGTCAATAGGGTGAATCAATCTATAAGTGAATAAGAGGAGCAACCTTGAACTAATCAAAAGTTATACAAAATCAAATCATTTACCTCTCCAATCACAAAATTGTTATAAGCCCAGGGGTTGTTCTAAAGAATCAGGCTTTATTTCGTAAAAGGTCTCTCTGAACGTCGAGCAACAAACATGCATAATAATTTAAATAGACATAAACATGATTTTTAAATCCTAAAACGATTTTTCATGAATTAAAATAATAAAGAACTTATAAATCCGTGTTTAAAATTTTGTTAAACAATGAAAAATACAGAAGCAACCTTAAAAAATTAACATTAAGTTAGATCAAACAGTGTAATCAGATTTATAGAATATAGTTGGGTTTTTAAATAATTTCTAACCTTATATTTCATGTATTACTTTCCATTGACACAAGTAATAAAATAATTTTAGAAAATTTACACTGATCCTAAAATAGATTATTTATCTTTAATATTAAAATAAAAATTATTAAATTAGGAGAGGGCGGAGCAACTTACCTATTTGTTGACGTCTCATGTCTTTCTATTTGGATCGAGACCTCTCACCATTGTGAAGAAGTACAATCCATCCATATATATTGAAGAGGAGGAGAGAGTCTTAATAGATTGGTTAGGTCTCTAATTAAAAGTTTAAAATTAATATTTAATTAATCTAATTTTATTTTTTTTACTAAACTTAAATGTGTTTATTTAGATTTAGAAATTATCTTATCAAATTTAGTTAAAAAAGGATAGAATATACCCTTTAAGATAAAATATTTCTATTTTTATTTAATTTTAAAATTATTCTAAATTTAAGACATTTAGGGAATTATATCCTCTCCCTTAAAAAAAGAAATTTGGTCCTAAATTTGATTCTCTCTCTCAAGTGGCTTCTTGGTCGGAATGGTGTTACCAACAAACGTTTATCAGAGACATAGTTTTATTCCTTAGGACATGTTCCTTTTTTTTTCCAATATCTTAATCGATTACTTTAAAAAGGTAGAATCATCTATTGACTCAAATATTGGTCATAAATAACATGAGATGGTTTCTAATATATTTTCGAAGCATAAAAATATGAAACATATCATATACGCCTACGAGGAGGCAATGCCAATCGAGGGGTCAGAGATCTATTCCTTTCCAAAATTTCAAAAGAATGAAAAAATCTAGGAGTTAATTTACCCTTTTTACCAAACTTGTATATTGTTCTAACTACCACCAAGTTTGAATTGTTCTCTTATATTGTCCATTTATCTAAGGGTAAAAAGGTACACTAAATTTCAATTAAATCTCTAAAACTTTTTATAAATTTTCTTAAAACTTTGACGTGAATCTCGAATCTCTATCAAATATAATACTTACTAGAATTCTATACAATTGAATTTCTCTCATATACAATACTACTAATCTATCTAGTGAATATCATTTATTAATAGAAAAAAATATATATATTTAATAAGTCATCAACAATCACCCAAATATATTCATAGTTATTTAACATCTTAGGCAATCTAGAAAACAAATCTATAGTCATCTACTCCTACTTTCATTCTAGAATAGGCATCATCTGTAACTTTTGCAGTACAAATAGAACAAGATTTTCAGCAGTTTTTACACTCCCAACACATATACAAAATATAACCATATTACTTGGAAGCAACTAAATCGTTGCCTTTCTCCGCACCAAAACTCCTCATTCAAAAGCTAATCAGATTAGTGAAGAAAAGTAACCATAATTGTTTAGATCATCTCCATCCATCTTAATATATAGTCCTCGGATGAATAGTAAATTTTGATCTATGTACCTCTATTTTTTTTAGTAGATCCAGTTAATAAAATAATAGGAGGAGAGTTTGCCCCTAAGTCGTAGATCGTCATATGGTTGCCTAATCAGTATAAGAGGTGGGACCCGAGCGACATGGGAATATGACCCAAAGAGAATATTATACTCTTGTTACATAATATTTTTTCAAACCCACCCTCGTAGTTACCGAAGTCAGGCACCCCCACTTGACATTAGTTTTCTTACAAGTTAGCCATCAATAAATACCTAATTTATCTCCTCAACTCTCTTTTTGGACTCTTGTACACACGACTCAAGATTGAGTCAAGTTGACAGAGGTGTTATCAATATTTTTTTCATCATTTTGATGTTAGAAAAGTCATAGGAGCACCACACCATCAACGCCCATTAAGAGCATTCGAGCGAGGATGCTCCATCACCAACCCACAATACTTCCACATAAAGAGGCCAGCAGTTGATACTCTCAATGCACAATGCCTCTACCTCTACCCAAACTCCTATGTGATGGTTGTTTAATGACCTTTGCTTCCCACCCTTGGTGGCAATGGCAAGGTCTTCCTAAACCTCACATAACTGGTTTATACATTAATAGGGATGATGTAGTCAATCATTCCCTTACTTTTACAATTGGCTCAATCAGTAATCATGGCCCCTCCCTAGTAGCCAATGACACCCTAGACTCCTATAAAGCTTCCTTGGTCAACCCAAGCTCAAGTGATCGTCGAGCTGCCTTGGCCCATCGATGCCCCAATTGAGGGGGTCCCTAGATCCCCAACTATCAAATTTAGTAGATCGCGCTACTCATAGTCGATGCTATCTAAGTCTATGGCCCAATCAACAAACTCTGAATATACTCTACACGCACAACTTCAATAAATAGACTAGTGCTCGGAGGACATGCACCGTGAGTTCCACATGATGAAAGACAAGAGGAGCCTATTCCCTTGGGCTTCCAACTCCCCAATTTGGAAGTCTTCAATGGAGGTACTGATCCGATGGAATATGTGGCAATGTTCCCCACTTAGATGGCATTCTATGGGATATCCAATGCCTTGATATACTAAGCTTTCCCCACAACCCATAGGGGAATAATCCGAGAGTGGTACACTAGCCTAAATCCCCTCTAGATAAATTCTTTTACTCAACTTGTAAAAGAGTTTAAGGAGCACTTCGTGAAGAATGTCTGCCCTCGATGCCTAACCATCACCCCTCCTTGGCATCCGACAGGCGAAGGGCAAGCCATTGGTAAAGTTCGCCACCAGATTCACTAATGAGTCTAGAGGAGTTACAGACACTCACTTGACAATTCTAATCCAAGCATCCAGAAGAGAGAATCAATAATGATGTTTAAGATACTACAAAAAGTCAACTAATATATAGTCATTGAGGTAATGGTGGCATAGAGACAAGAAGAGTCTCAAAAGCATATAAGGCTAGAGCGCAACCCCTTGCCTCGGCACCGAGGGCACCTTAGTGCAAAGCGATGGATCCAGCAGGATCCTCTCAACCACGAGCTGACTTCACCCATCTTAACATATTCTTTTAGGCTGAAGTCTTTCAACAAATCTAAGAAAAAAGAATGCTCCAAAACTCTTATCCCCTGAGATCTACCCTAGGAAAAAGAGACAAATCTAAGTACTATCATTTCCACTAAGACTATGGTCATGACACGGAGGATTTCCTCAACCTTAAGGAGTTGATCGAGGAGCTTATCTAGCATGACCACCTTGGTTGATTTTTCCAAAGAAGGGAGCCCTCCCCCAAGCCCGAGGGACCCATTGAAAGGCATAATAATATGATAGTCGATGGGTCCACCTTGGGAGGAGATAACTTATAGGGTCAAAGAGCCTAGGCCTAAGCGATGATCGAGAAGCATTGACGGATGGAGAGTGACCCAGAATAATCTTCAACGATGAGGAGGTGGAGCACCTCAACCCTAATCATGACAATTCTTTAGTCATCTTTATCATGATGATTAATGCCCTAGTCAAGAGGGACATGATTGACACAGGTAGTTCGGCCAACATTCTCTACTTTGACATATTTCAAAAATTAATCAATTGGTAGATGCCCTCGGGCCATGAGCTATGAATATTCATGGATGACGTATTGAGATACAATAAAAAACGAATGGCTCTTGAAGATATTGCTACTAAAT